AAAAAAAAAAAAAAAAAAAAAAATACGAGCGACAAAAGAGGAAGTAAACTGATTGATCGCTATTGCTATGATTCACGTGGTAACATACATTGCCTAAAAATTTTAAAGTAAAACTAATCAATATTTTATGATTAACATAACTGAATTTCTCGTGATTAAAAAGAATTAAATTTGCTTTTTACTTTTAATTCTTCTAGCAACATCTTTACAATCGTTTAAGGTCAATCGAATAATTAACATTCTATTGACTAAGAGTCAATAAGAGTCGAAAAAATATCTCTTTTATAAAATCCCAGCTCGCTCATGAATTAGTCTTAGAAAAATATATCAGTACCGTTACTTCTCGTTGCACGTAGTAGAAGAAGCCACGTCGCCACTAAAAGCGTTCTTCTGTTTGCTGTTACTAGTCTTTTTTTCTTCAAAATGTCTTTTTCTGTGTACCTTCATGTTATCACGCCTGTTAAATTTTCGTCCGCACTCCGGACATGCGTGCTTTTTCTCACCATGCACGTGCCGGTGTGCAGCGAGATGACTAGCTTGAGCAAACCTTGCACCACACTTTTGGCAAATGTGTTTCCTCAGCCCCTCGTGCTTTAATAGATGTTCATTCAGGAATGCTTTCGATGCATATCTATTGTTACAAACATTACATACAAATGGTTTAGGATTCGAATGTTGTAACACGTGAGCCTTATACTTGGACGCGACTTTGAACGTTTTACTACAAATTTCACAGGTATATGTAGTCGCGTGTCGCGTTTTAATGTGTTCATTTAAAACTGAAAGACTTGAATATAGATTGTAACAAAACCGGCACCTGAAATTACGACGATTTTTTAAATGTACGCTAGCTATATGACTTAATAATCTCGTACGGTACGGGAACACCTTGCCGCAATATTCGCAGGCTAAATTCTGCGGAGGTAAATGTGATTTCATGTGAATCTGTAGCGATACTTTGTGGTGATAACTCTGACCACAGTCCGTACAAGAATAAGGTCTCACACCCTTGTGCACATTGTCATGTTCCATTAAATAAAACTTTGACTTAAATCTCTTTGGACATTTTGGGCATTGTATCGGCCTAGGGTTAGTATGCGAACATCGAATGTGCTTCATTACATCAGATTTGCATACAAATTTTGCGTTGCACAGGATACAGGTATACTGTTTAATACCAAGATGGGTCTTCACGTGAACCATACATTTGTCCTTGCGTTCGTAGAATTTACAACATAATTTACAAGAATATCCATTTTGATTATCCGTGACGATATGCTCGACGTTGTCGTCGACACGAATCTCTTCACCGTCAATCCTAAAAAGTTCTTCTGGATTTTGAGAGGCTTGCCATTTTTGCTCGAATTCAGCAGAGTCCTTCAATTTTGTCGAATTGCCGTTCTTCAAGCTACTATTAATAATGGTATTTATTATACTATTTACTTCCACACAACTTTGATTTTGTAAAAGACCAACGATTGCCTTATCCACTAAACAAGAACCTTGATCCGGAAATACTCGCGCTCGGACAGTAGCTACATCGTCGCTTTCCTTCTTACATAATTCTACAGTAAAGCTAATATCTTCGATATCGCTGGTTTGATTTCTGGATTCTTTTACGGAAACCTCGATGTTTGGAGAATTCGATACGATACTGAGAAGCTTATTCAATGCTGATGTTGGAATTTGAATAGTATGTGGATCTTGCTGTTTTCCAATCGGTTTATCATCATTTTCATTAGAATTATTACACGTATTAACAGTTATTTCTGTGGCAGTATTGTCATGACTTCTAAGTCTATTTGCGATTGGTATATCAATCGTTGCATCATTTATTACAATTGTTTCTGTACTTTGTCTACTTCTAAGCCATCGCGTAGGAGTTGTTTCAGAATTTTGAACAATTTGTACATTCTCAATATTGTCTTCGGTCGTACTTTGAACACTATTTTGATCGTTCGTAGCTTCTTCACTGTCTCTTACTTGTTGTTGACTTCTTAAATTTCTTTGAGCTTTTGTAGCTGTTCTTAGAACACGTTGCTCTACTTCTTTAATGTTTTCATCATTTGAAGAATTAAGATTTTTATTGGTTTCATTGTTACTATTGTTTGTAGATGTACTTGGTGCACTTGGTGTATCTTCAGTCTTTACTTCAGCCTGGAGATAGATTGAAATAAAAGTAGAAGTGGGTACCAGAAATTCACTAGTTTTATTATTGAAGTAAATGAATTCAATCTGGTATTTATGGTATATGAATACAAGTTTTCATTATAAATACAAATGTATTAAAAACTTTATATTTAATAAAAAGAAAATTACAATATTTTAATTTCAAAAATTTCTTTTAACCAAAATACCAGATAATACTTGTCAATATAATTTAAGTTTCAAAGAAAAAAAATGAGCTGTTTGCTCTGGTATATGCATCATAAATGAGCGGTAGAGCTGTGTATTAAATTTGAATACGAACTTACAATCTCTGTTAAGGGTGGTAGATTGTATCGATCGCGTAACACTTGTTGGGTGCGAAGACACTCCTCTTGGAAGTCGCAAACGAATTCGAGCTTGCCCAGACATTGAACACAGATCGCCTTGGGCAGAGGATCCCTTTCATCTATCTGCGATTCAAACAAAATATCTAAATATGTACTAAATATATGTAATTTTTAAAATCTTAATTGCAAATCTGATTCTGTATAATTTCTAATTGAATTGAGAAATCATATCTTGTTCTATTGAAGGATAATGATGAATATACAAAAAATTTAATTTAAGCCCTACCGCTCTGTAGATACACCATTTTGAAAAATAATCTGGTACTCACTCTATATTGCTAACATCATTGCTTATTGCTATAACGCACAAATATATAATAAGATTTATAATCATTTACAAATATATAAAAATAAATACACGTTCATATAAAAATATTCGACATAAAATTAATAATTATTTTTTCATGTTTGCCTAAATTAAAAAAAAAAGAAAGACAAACCTGACAAATGAACTTTTCCAAGCCCAAAATTATTTTTTTATTAAACAAAATTCCAAGAATAAATTGTATTCACAAAATAACAAAGTTACAAAATATTTTATCTCAAGAATGCTATAAAACAGTATTCAATATTTAACAACAAATAATCATAAAGATGCAAATTCTCGCGTATGTGATAAAATATGTATGTGATTGCAGCATACATTTCTTCAGGCCTACAAATTGTTACAAATAATCATTCAAAATGTACATACAAAGTTATTAAGCCCAAACAAAGTTTGACACACGTACTTCAACCAATAATACAGAATTCAAAAACTTTCTTCTCCGAAACAAATATAAAACGTAAAAAAAAATGTACTAAAACTACGA